GACATTTTATAAATTAAAAAGTGAATAGACGAATAATGAAAACAAGCGAACAAGCAGAACGTGGAGCGTGACATAGATAAAAGGAAATTGGTTTGATCTGTGTGTGATACTAAAATATTAGCCTTTACAACATTGAAAGGACCCTCTTCCTTTAGGGGCCGGGCTATGGGGTCGTCATACACGTGTGCATTCAGCCGAGTACACGAACTGATTGATGCTCTTTTATAGTGCATTGATTCAATGAAATAGATTACAGTAAGCCATTTATAATACGTAATAAACTTCAAAGAATTAGTTGCTTATAAATTCAGTTGTACTTTAAGATTTTAAACACGTGTAGGAGCCCGTGATTGTCGCAGCTTAAAGAAGCTTTTGTGTGAATTAATGTAAATTGTAAAACAGGAACAAAGAGGGTAATTGGTTAAAAACGAAGCATTCCAACAAAAGTTAGATAACACAGTTATCCTATTAGAACTGTATGCGAACCTGGAACTAATTAGTGAAAAGCCCGCATCGAGTGTGACTCCATTACGCAAGAGTCCACCACGGCTAGGTTTTCCGGGAAATGGTACCACTTAACTAGGTACTATTTATGGTTTATTAAGTATTTTAAAATAAATACATACAAGTACTTTCTCTATTTATTCACACTTCATTGAATGCTTGAAGTAAAGCGTTAATGACGAAAAAACTGAAGATGCAAAATACGGCAGACTGTGATTGGGAAATGCAGTGATTTCTTGCAGTTGATGGTGATGATGAAACCGGTGATGGAACAAACAATGGAAGTATTGCTATATTGTGATTTGGAATAATTCTAGAGCGCATCACTACTACACCTGCCCTTTGTCTAAGATATTACATAATTACCGTTACTGTGTCATTTTTTGTCTTTCATCTATTTATCTTTCTTTTAATTCTTTTCTTTATTGCGTGCGTTTTAATTATATTTAGGTATAAAATCCGAGAGTAGTTATGTAAATAAAATACTTGTTCAGAATTAGGAATTAGTAGACGTCTCATACGATCACCGCAATCATAATCTAGGATCCTAGTTCGTCGTTCAATTTCAAACGCAAATAGAAATAGCTTTAATGGGATTTAGAGGCGACGTAAGCTTCATATCATGTGGAAACACGGGCGCTGTTAGGTGCATGCATAATGCAAAACCCGATCCAGTTACTGGAGATTCATGCGGTTTTTTGTAAATACGTATGTGTTTTAGAAAAGTTATATCTGCAATGCTACCGAAAGTTAGAAATTTTTTATTTTATTTTTTTATTTAGTTCGGTATCGCGGCACCTTCTATGAGTTAATATAGGTCAGATTTATTCTAATTAAGTTAATTTATTAATAACTTACAGAAACTCCTACAAAAGCGCTTCACTTCGTTATTGGTGGTAGGACATCTTGTGAGTCCACACGGGTGGGTACCACCACCCTGCCTATTTCTGCCGTGAAGCAGTAATGCGTTTCGGTTTGAAGGGTGGGGCAGCCGCTGTAACTATACATGAGACCTTAGAACTTATATCTCAAGGTGGGTGGCGCATTTACGTTGTGGATGTCAATGGGCTCCAGTAACCACTTAACACTAGGTGGGCTGTGAGATCGTCCACCCATCTAAACAATAAAAAAAAAATGGAAACCCACACATGCCGTCCGTTTTCTTTCATACATATATAATATATGTATAGACATATTGGCATAGCCCTTGAATGTAGATCTCTCCAATTAAATATCGTCGACATTACCAAAACCTAAAGTACACAAAAACAGTTGTTCGTGTCGGTTTGAAGGGTGAGAAAACCCTTTAGCTATTGAGATTTCCACCTCATGTTGCAAGGTGAGTGTTAGCATTTACGTTGTGATATCTATGAGTTCCGGTAACTACTTAACAATGATGGGCCGCGTGTTCGATGGTCTGCTTAAATTAAAAAAAAATCCCATAAAAATAATTCACCACATCTCTAGTCGTAGCGTTCCAACTGACATTCCTTGGCAATACAATAATAATAAAAATTCACGCAAACGTTAAGTACCTCGTAAAACGCTTATTAAAACCGAAGTAGACTGTAAAAACAGGAAGGGAGGAATCATCAAAACAAGCACATTACACAGAAGTGTAATACAAAAGTGAATTTGTGTCTCCGAGATTAAAATCGAAGTGGTCTATTTCGTGATCTCCAAAAATGCTTTATTTGGAGTAGACCAGTGATTCTCAACCACTGTGCCGCGGCACTTTTGTGTGCCGCCAAATATCAAAAGTGTGCCGCCAAATTTTGCAAATATATAATAATGTTAATATTATTAAATTATATCATTTAAAAAGAAGAATATTTTTAACATGAATATATATTTAAGTAAATCCACAAAAAAATAAATTATTTTATTATTTGCTTTGCAACGCGATTTTTCTTAGTGCCAAATTATGATGAAGCGGCGTGCATAGCAATAGGAATATTATGTCTCAAGTCGGAGCACACTTGCCACTTCTGCGTACAAAACGTGTTGTTTTAGTGATAGTTGGGATTCACAAGGTGTTGCATAGTAGTTACTGCACCTTTTCTTTCGTTAAAATTGGCAAATGTATGTGATTCGGTAGTAAGTAAATAATTTTTATCTTTTTCTTTGTGTGCCGCCAAATTTTGAAATCGTTAAATAGGTGCCACAACAAAAAAAAGGTTCAGAATCACTGGAGTAGACGGTGGCGAAGTTAAATATGTATGTCTGCAATATTATTTGCAAATGAGGTTATGTTCATTTGTTACGCTGAAATGTTTTACATTTTTTGATTTATCACTTTATCTGATTGCGTAAAAATACAATAAAAAAATATTATTGAATAAACTTTCCGTTTTATTTACCTACTGATTAAATTCAATTTAACTTGCATTTGTATCATTTAAAATTTAACGTTTTGATGTGCTGGAAATAAAAGTATTTATTTTGTGGTTACGCATTTTTGTTACATTAACCATTTATTCTGTTTGTTTATAATAATGGTTGTTTTGCAAATCTCGAGAATAGATTAATCATTTTGATTGTCCTTTTCAAATGCTTCTAGTAAGCCTAAACCAAATCTCTCAACTACTGTTTCTTATTAGATNATCATTTAAAATTTAACGTTTTGATGTGCTGGAAATAAAAGTATTTATTTTGTGGTTACGCATTTTTGTTACATTAACCATTTATTCTGTTTGTTTATAATAATGGTTGTTTTGCAAATCTCGAGAATAGATTAATCATTTTGATTGTCCTTTTCAAATGCTTCTAGTAAGCCTAAACCAAATCTCTCAACTACTGTTTCTTATTAGATATTTAAACCTTTAACAAAAAACATTTGACCAGCTCTTCAATATCGATGATGGCGAGGGAATACCTTAAAAATAAATACAATAATGTTGACCATACGTAATATTATAGTCATTACTAACTATAATATGTTAAGAAGCATCTATAAGAATCACAGTATAAATTACGTAGCAACTAAGAATTAAAAAAAAAAAAACGTTCCCGAATAAAAAGCACTTTGTTAGAAAATTTAGCTTTTAATGTTGCCCCAATTCTTTTGTATGCTTACTTCGTTAAACGTACGTGCTATGTTTACGTAAACCTCGAATGCACGTTCGTTGAAAATTTAAATGTAATTTTGTAGAGGCGTTTTTAATACAACAGTAGAATTTACATTTGACATGATTTCATACTTTTACACAAACTAACCTGTCTCTCCTTCCAAAAACTAGATGATGATTTTTTTATTTGTTAAATTGTGTTTTTCAGAATTACATATTGATAAAATGATGAAATATTCCAGTGTTATTGTGTCTTTAAAGCAGTTAGTTGCTCTCAATTAAAAAAAATAGTATTATTATTCGCCAATAGATGTCGGGAATAGTCATAAAGTTGATTATCGATAAAGTCGATTATTGAAAACACGAATAAAAACTACATTTTCTGAAAATAAATCGTAGCTAGATCGATTTATCGCCCCCGAAATCCCCTGTATAGGTTATAGGATATAAGATTAAGTAAAAAATGGGAATACGCCTATAATTTGTTTCTGTAACTAAAACTATTCTATTCGTACCTAAAATTAGTCAAAGACCAATAATACGTTTATTTATTAAGTTTATACATTTATTCGTATAATAAATAAACTTATATCTTTTGTCCAGAACCCGAATACCAAATATCATTACTGATAAAGATATTGACTTCTACTGATGTTCGAACTTGGACGGTAATCAAACTACTCGATCGGTAATGTAATTTCGAAATACAATTCGAAACTTGTATTTACTGACAATAAATATCATATTACTGTCCGGTAACTGACAAAATGCGTTCCCGATAATCATTATAGTGCAGACAATCTAGATTTGCGATTGCGATGAAGAAACTAATTTATGAAGTCGAAGGACGAAGATACTAAAAGATTCACTACAAACTTTATACTTTTTTGGAACGAAGTTCTTTATGGGACGATGCGGAGGGGTACCCTTACCAGGAAAAAACGTCCGTAACGTAAGATTTTTTCTATTTAGTTTGTTATCAACAAATATCGCTGCACGTAGGGGATACCGTGATGATGCAGGCGGTTCCCCCAGGGCGAGGCTGCTCCATTGCACTGCGGAGTGGTTGATCCTTGTGATTATATTTATTTTTATCAATAAAAAACTCATAATAAAAAATGTATACCCGAATAATTATTTTCTTTATACCTCAAAGAGAACTTAAAATTAATATTTTTATAATAAGGAACTTCGTTCCTATCCGGTGTCCCACGACACCACACATATATTTTTTTATTGCTTAGATGGGTGGACGAGCTCACAGCCCACCTGATATTAAGTGGTTGCTGGAGCCCATAGACATCTACAACGTGAATGCGCCACCCACCTTGAGATATAAGTTCTAAGTTCTCAAAATAAATAAATATTCCGTCTATGTATTCCGAAATCATATTCGATTTTCTTAACTTATAATCAATTTTATTTCAGATCGGGTCGAGGAGCAGCCTATGCCTGTTCCGAAGGTGAAGGCAACGCTCCGAAGTCATGCTGCGGCCGACCTCCTCTCAGGCTCTGCGTACTGTTCTTAGGAGTCATTGGTGCGTGTCTAGTGGCCGCCGGTGCAGTACTCGGCGCTTTGAGACCACACCCGAGAGCACCGCTGACATTGTTACTACTTATGATAGGTGAGTTTCAGCTATTGAATTAACATTGTACAAGTTAGTCGAGAAGATCTCGCATAATAAATACCTCGAATATTCTTTTTTAATGCGCTTTTATTAGCTTCAGACGTATGTATGTTAGTATGTAACGGAATTTTTGAACATGATTTTCCAAACGTCAAAGTAAATAGAAATTTGGTAGGTATACTTAAGGACCGATGACAATTCAATATTTACAAAAAAAAAATAAAAAAATTGAAATGCAAGTAAAAAAAGAAAAAAAGTAGTTTAAAAAAACTAATAAAATACGCTTTTATAGAAAACGCTTTTTTTACAATAATATCATTTTTTCTTGCCCTATTTTTGATTACAATTTATAAAAAAATATTTTCTATTTTTTTAGTTGGATTTTCTATAAAAGCGTATTTTGTTAGTTTTTTAAACTATTATTTATTTATTTTATTGCCCGATCAAAATTCATGATCTACACGTATTTTCACTTGGTTGGGTAATTTGGTCTCTGGCTATTGTCTTTAATCGGCAACTACAACATCCATCACAATATAGCACAAACAGGGTTCAGTGTTCATAATTAGCTGTTTCTTTACATTCGAAACATCAGATAAACAAACAGAATAAGCTCAATTTTAAATGATCCCATAAAAATAGCACGCTGGGTAAATTATAAGCTGGCCGAGGCAGGCGTCCACACGGCCTACCTCTTGGTGAGTAGTTACCGTTATTACACATTTAAACCTGAAGAAACACTAAATAGACAAAATAAAACAAATCACACAACTTCACTCCTCGCTTTCCCGCCAAAAAAGTCAAATATCTTTAAGTAAAGTATACAGATATAGATTGGTTCTTTTTCTCAATCGTGTCACTCTTGATAGAGTTTTGTCATGTAGTATTGGAGAGGGGATAGATTTGTTATATTTACTTATAATTGCACAAAGACTAGATACTAAAACAAAAATAAAAACTTCATAATAACAATACAGTGGAAAAAAAAACAGTTAAGCGACTTTCGTAACGAAGTATACTTTTATTATAAACCTCTTTGATCATTAAACAATTTGAAACTCATTTCATGTTCCACGATTTTTACACCCGATTAATGCTCTCCGCTCTGATGAATTGCTTTGTTTAATGAAAGTGCAGAATAATGTTATGTTATAATATGTACATTGGATTTTATTGGTTTATTGGAGTTTTGTAGTTTAATTAATCGTATGATATAAAGTATAGCAAAATATACATTTCCAGTAAGGTTAATTATGTCAATGTGAAAATTTGGAAGATAATATATATCGTCTTCTCGCATTAAAACTGTATAATCTCAAAACTTATTCATTTTACAGGAGAGTGTTTTAAAGGGTTAACATGTAATATTATTAATATTAATCATATTTGCAATATTATTTTTTTATTTTTTAACAGTTACATTATCTGTCTTTTAAAGTAAGATAAAATTATGTATTAATGTTGTTAATAGTACAAAAAAACAGGTAAGCTTAAAACAAAAAAAAACAAAAAACTAAACTACGCTCTTTTGACAGTATTTATGAGAAAAACACTGGTGATACCAAATGTTTACGCATATTAACTCAATTTCGAATATTTTTGGAAATTGTACACTTTTAATGCGAAAAGGCGATATATATAGGCTTCCTAGTACAGGCTTGCACGCTTAAAAGGAGACTCCAACCATTTTATTGTTTTGAGTCGTTTTTAAAAATAAAGTATTTTGTATTTTTGTATATATATTTTTAAATTGCATATTTTGCTGAATGAGCTCACGGCATACTTGTCGTTAAATGATTACCGGGGCCCATAGACATCACATGTGAATGCAGTTACCTAGCTTGATACTCGAGGCTACTGTCCCGCTTAAGGGTATAAATTTCCTATAGATACCACTCACTGAGTTTCTCGCCGGATTTTCTCAATGGGCTGCGATACCGATCCGGTGGTAGATTCAACGAAGCACTGCTCTTTCCTCTTCTTAGGCCCAGTGTTAGTAATTGTCTCAGCCCGTGTTGAGCCCATGAGCTCACCTACCGGTCCGTGAGTAGTTGGAATAGCCCCTTAATCTATCAAAGGTTAGGTAGGAAAAAAAGTAAAAATGGTGGTACGTACACGCTTGAACTCACAAGACGCCAAACTACCAATAAAAATTTATCTAATATTATTATCTATACTAATATGATCTACAGTAGTTTTTACGGATGTTCCGTTATAACTACTAAATCATGCATCCGATTGACTTGAAACTTTGTATCTATGTAGAAAATACACGTACTTAATGGATAGGCTAATATTTATATGAGTGTTGGACTCCCTACACTAGTTACTTATAATTTAGAAATAATGGCAGTGAGAATTTTCTAAAAAATTATACACAAAATTATTTTATAAGAGAATTATGCAAATCCGACTATGATTTTGTATGTATGTCTTTATTACTATGTGATATACTTAAAATAATAAAACTTGTAACTAATCCTCAACGATAGGCTTTTTTTTTTTTTTTTTCCACAGGAGAAAATCGCCGGATCCCCACCCGCACGGCGGGTGGGGTATGTGGGAGTTGAACCTCACTAAAAACTCAAGTTTCAAGTCAATCGGATGCATGGTTCAGTAGTTATAACGGAACATCCTTAAAAACCACTGTAGATTTATATATTAGTATAAACTAGAGGCCCCGCGGTAGTCGAAATTCGACTATAATTAATTGGAATTGTAAGTTTGTACACTATTATGATTGTATTTTCAACGCCAAGACAACACTATAGAAAAATATTAATAAAGACTAACAATATTTAATCTAATCTCAATTTGACCACAGACTACAAGAACAAAAGTATGACAATAATAAATAGTATGCATGTGTGTGTGTGTGTGTGTCAAATACATGGTAGCGTGTGTAATGTTTTCTTTATTGATTTAAGGTATCTTTTATGCATTATTTAAAAAAAATATTAGCAGTGTGCACTGCTTCTCTATACTCTCTATAAGTGTGGAAAATTTCATACTCCCCCGTCCGCGCAATTTTCATAAAAAGGGATACTAAGTTTTTGCTTCACGTATTAATATACCTATATAGATATTAGCATTGTGCACTTCTTCTCTATTATCTCTATAAGTTTGGAAAATTTCATACTCCTCCGTCCGCGCAATTTTCGTAAAAAGGGATACAACGTTTTTGCTTCACGTGTTAATATATGGAAGATATAGATGTCATAAATGTGTACAGGTGTATTTGTTATACGCTTTACGTTTGACAATAACAAGTTTGTCCGAAACGTTCAAATCTCATTACATGACTCGCGTCGGCTCCGCCCTTCAACGTTCCAAGTTTTCAATTAAACTTCAAATGAGTTTTGGAACGGAATTAATTGGATTTTCATTAGCGTTCGGGACAAATGATATTGTTGCCTGCTCTAATGTCTCAGCCAAAGGGCAATTTGTACACGTCACTCTTACCTTTATTGATAGTTCGAGTTTTGAAATAAAGATTATATTTGTGTGTACGTTGGCGTAAAAGACGAGGCTGTTACTACAAATTGAATATTCCCCCCACTTCGAGATATGAGCTCACTGTTTTATTGGAATATAAACATAGCTTCAAATTGAAACGAGTCATAAAAATTGACAGAATGGTGGACCCAAGCTTATAGGAAATTCCAATAATCGTCATAGAAAATAGGTGGAGGATTAAGGATAGTACTGTAAATAGCTAGAATGGAATGGTAATAAATGTTTTTTTTATTTTATTGCTTAGATGAGTGAACGAGCTCACAGCCCAACCGGTGTTAAGTGGTTACTGGAGCCCATAGACATCTACAACGTAAATGCGCCACCCATCTTGAGATATAACTTCTAAGGTCTTACTATAGTTACAACGGCTGCCCCACCCTTCAAACCGAAACGCATTACTGCTTCACGGCAGAAATAAGTAGGGTAGTGGTACCTACCCGTCACCAGTTAATATTCCAGAAGGCTATCATCGCACTTCCGTACTTTCTGTTAAACGGCCGCGCACACATATTGGTAATACTAGAGGTAATTCAAGATAATTCTGGCTGTTTTTTTTTTTTCTGAAACTTGGATGGCTTCATTTTCTTTTTTAAGCCCTGATCCAGAATCTGACAGACAGCTCGTCATTATAGTCAATTAAATTTTAAATTTTATAACCCTAATCATAAACATTTCGTACATGTAATATTTACATTTTTAATAGCATCATGCAAAAACTACAAGGCTTTTCGAAGATTTTTGTTCATAGTAATATATTTTAATTAAAATTACGACATATGCATTTCATAACGGAGTGTGTCGTTCGAAATGAGGGCCGAATATAATTAAGAACAGTCGCTGAATAATAGTTGCTCCGTGCTGTTTGTAAACTGACCCGGGATAACACGCTGCGAATATTAGATTCTTTTGTTATCCACATTTAATTAAAACATATGGTCCGTGTATTCGGAAATGGATGTTAATCATTAATGACATCTATTTGAACTTCATAATATAAAATTGGTAAAGAAGATTGCGTTTTTATAACGAATTTTAGTGTTTTCTTAAGTAGATAGGATATTTTTATAGCTCACTACCTTAGTCACAATTGGTGATGGCTCTTCAAACCGCTTTTATCACATGATATCATTATGTAAATACCTCCACCACTTGCTATCAGACACGAAGCATGAATCCTATTAGAATAAAATAAATAAATAAAAAATACTTTACGCAAACTTTAAGAAATCTATATCTATATATATAAAAATGAATTGCTGTTCGTTAGTCTCGCTAAAACTCGAGAACGGCTGGACCGATTTGGCTAATTTTAGTCTTGAATTATTTGTGGAAGTCCAGAGAAGGTTTAAAAGGTAGATAAATATGAAAATGCTCGGAATTAAATAAAAATAACAATTTTGTTTTCCCTTTGGTGTAACGTGTCGTCCCCCGTCAGACGTATTCCTTTTGTTTGTTTTAAGTTTATTTTATACAAAAGTTTAGGTCTTATATTTATCGATTGAGGCACTACGAAGTCTGCCGGGTCAGCTGGTTCACTATAAAGATCGTTTTTGAATTCGTTGTTATTTCATTATTTCCAGGCATAGGAGTGGTGTTAGTAACCGCAGCGGGACTTGCATGGAGATTAGGGGCTCGTGACGCTCCATGCGCTTTACTGGGCCTCAGGCGGACATCTTGTAGACGGCTGGTACCGCGGCTACCACCCAGCTATGCCAGACCGCACCATCCTTACGCTGCTATGCTGTACCCTGAGTTTCAATACAGGCCCCCACCGCCGACGTATCAGGCCTCGATGCAGGAATACAGACTCAGGTAATAATTTTATTAAGTTAATTTTTAAATAGATATTTTAACTGGTATACGCGAATACCACCGCGCGTACTGACTCGTGAGTTTGCAGTCACACCTGGTTTAGAAGAGACTGTTATCCTTCATAACCTCGTCCTCAATCAATCCTTTTTTTTCCTACCTACGCTGAATTCCTTGAGAGGCTATATCAGCCTCACCCTAACGTGTAGGTGAGCTCACGGGGCTCAAACCGGAGTGGTGCTAACACTGGCCCTAGCAAGAGCAGTGCTTCGCAGAATCTACCACCGGATCGGAAAAGCGACCTACTGAGAAGATTCGGCGAGAAACTCTGGCTGTGTTTTGGGGTCAAATCAATCCTTATTAACTAAGGATTTGATGTAGTTTTGAACGTACCTATCCATTTTTTTTTTTCATTTATCCAGATTATAGATCTGAGTGAGAAGTATCTGGAGTTATCCTGCTACTAAGTATGTCCATCGAACGAAACTTCAGCTATTACATAATTTTGTAATAATTGAAGGACCTCGAAACGAATTAACTTATTGGATTTTGTCAAAGCGGCTTTGTCTAAGAGCATTAACGGACAGAACCAACACAGTATTATGCGAACTTGACGTAAATACCTTTAAGGCCTTTATTGGGGAAACGTCTCGAAAGTTTTAGTGTATTACGTTGCGCTAATATATTTTGCAATTGACAGTTTATCGAGAACAACTTAAGCTTAGTATCCCGTTGATATATTCGTTCGTATTTATTTATTAATATTTCTATATATATTTCTTCTGTGCGTGTGTTTGTCACTGAACTCCTCCTAAACGGTTGGACCGATTTGAATGAATTTTTGTGTATGCATTCGCAGGACTTCGTCTGTCGGGTCAGCTAGTTGTTATATAAATATATTACGTTAGAACTTTATCGTACTACAGTGTCGATTATTGGTTTTAAATCTTCACACGTTGACAAAAACTTGCTTAAATAGGGCGATACTTTTGAAGAAATTGACCGGTCATTGTTCTCGTCGAACCCGTCGCTTGCGACGAAGAGCTCGGCGAGTTAATTAACCCACAGACACAGCCCATTGAATTTCTCGCCGGATCTTTACAGTGGGTCGCGTTTCCGATCCGGCGGTAGATTCTGCGAGTACTGCTCTTGCTAGGGTTAGTGTTAGCAACGTCATCAAGTTTGAGCCCCGTGAGCTCATCTACTTGTTACGTTACGTTGAGATAGCCTCTCAAGGCTAACATCTTAGGTAGGGAAAAAAAAGGAAATTGAGAGGCGGCACTAGTCTATCGATTTTTTTATCGTTGATTTAGAATAGACATTGTTCTTTCCACATATTTAACTTACTCGTGTTTGAGCCTTGTGATATAGTTGCACTTGATTTTCTTTTATTCTACTTTCTGACAAGAACTGGCCTCTAATTAATAATCTAGGCGGCAGCGTGTATTAGCGAAGCAATTTCACATAATATGAAAATGATTAGCTTTAAATTTAAGAGCATCCTCAGTAAGCATGCCCAATTTATAAACCGCGAGTTTATTTACCTATTTCTCGTGTTTTTGATAAACTGTCACATTTTTAGAGATCGTAAGCCTAAAACATATTTCTTGAACAGGTTGCTTCTGTTGGACAGAAGTGCGCCAGCGGTGTCGCCGCCTCCAACGTACAGGTCAAACTCAGCCAGTCTAGTCAGGTACGTTACAGCACTAAGAACCTTATGTAAATGTCATAAGGTTTTGCTGGAGATTGCATTTTAATTGACACTAAAACTACTCTTATGTAGGTCACTTATGTAGCAATGCGTATAATCCGGCACCTGGTTACACCGTTTTACACGTAATCGACCGCGTGTTCAGCCGCCTTCAACTCTACCCCTTATTGGTTTATACTAAAACTAGCGGCCCGCTCCGGCTCCGCTCGGGTCTTTAACAAAAAATTCAACGATATTTTATTTTTTTAAATAAAAGAACACTTATTGCAGCATAACAATAATAGACACATATGCTGTAGCGACACTTTTTGTAAATAATAATGTGTTCTACAAAGTCGTAGTATATTATTTTATTTTATCATGAATAGTTTTCGTAGGGCACGCGATGTAAAGAATATTTAATGTAATTTTTTTACACCTTGGGTTACATTATTGGAGTTTTAGTAAGGATCCCTATTTTTTTTCAAAGAAGGTTATAGCCTATGTCACTCAGAAATAGTGTAGCTTCCAAACAGTGAAAGAATTTTTCAAATCGGTTCAGTAGTTTCGGAGCCTATTCAATACAAACATACAAATAATCTTTCCTCTCAATAATATTAGTATAGATGAAATAGCAAATTTTAATGAAGATTAAAATGTATTCTATTTTTTTGTTTGTAGTAGAGGAACTACGGGAGCAGCTTGGTGTGGTTCCGAGTACAGTGGTCCCCCATCGTACAGAGCACCGCGCGCGGATCCGCCCGTCACCGTCACAGACACCATGCCCACCATCACACCCCTCGATCTAAAATACACAGACACCATCGAGTCCTTGCCAAAAACAGAACAAGAAAAAGATCCTGACGAGCATCTGGTTACGATAGTGCACACCGATGCCCAGCCAATCATAGTTACAGTATCCGGATCTCCAGCACTAAACGATACCCATCACCAACCGCCTACCGAGATTGATATTTTAGCGCACTTATAACGAAACGGGCCGAATGAGCTCTTAACTGTCTCACAGTGAATAGAACAGGTGGTAAGAATGAATCAATCCTGGGCTTACATCGATCAAGCCGGCTTAGATTGGATTCTCTCTTGTGTCAGAAACAAGCAATAGGCCCCGCGAGAAGGTTTGTGATTGCAGCAACGATTAAAGTGATTGATAAGGACGAAGTATACTCGATATTGAATGTAGGCAAAGAGTGATTTATATTTAGTACTTTGATGAATGTTAATTATTTATATGAAATAATTAGCAGAAGTATTTAATAATGCAATTCTAGGAAGCGTCTTTAATTCTGTTTGGAGCCATTCTCGATAGTTTACGGATAAAGTATCCATTAGTACTTTATTTAAAAAAAACTACTTTGAAAATATATTGCATTAGTAATGTTTCCAAATAGAATTATTAATTTCTAATGTGTTATTATTATTATGTTTAATGGTTTCGAGTACCTTATTTTTGTTATAGCGATAGGTTAATTATGTAAATATTTAAAGCACTGACATATAAAATATATCATTTGTTTAGAGTTATATGACAAATTATGTGCCGTGTATATATATAATGATTGATACAAATAATTTTAACCGTAAATTTTAGTTGACACGATCTTCTTGATTATTCGAACCAAATCTACCATGATGTACAATTTACGTTAAATCGGACCTATTTTGAATAAGTGTGGTAGGACCTCTTGGGTTCACTGGTGGTAGGACCTCTTGGGAGTCCGCGCGGGTAGGTACCACCACCCCGCCTATTTCCGCCGTGAAACAGTAATGCGTTTCGGTTCGAAGGGTGGGGTAGCCGTTGTAACTATACTGAGACCTTAGAACTTATATCTCGAGGTGGGTGGCGCATTTACGTTGTAGATGTCTATGGGCTCCAGTAACCACTTAACACCAGGTGGGCTGTGAGCTCGTCCATCCATCTAAGCAAAAAAAAAAAAGTGTTATAAAATATATTTCGTGAAGTTATCTTTATCATTCATAAATTTAAACTTCTCGACGATTTCAGAATAGGATCCGATAAGTTATTTAGTGCCAATGTTACGATTGTATATAAAAGTGAAAAAAAAAAAAAAACTAGATATCAATTTTAAAATTACTACATAATTACAATTCATTTATTAAAATTTTATTTTTCAATAGACAAACACAATATTTTTAGTAAGTAACGTTTGGCTTTATAAAATAACCGTGCTAATAACTAAATACCTTGATCATGAAATTAACATCGATGCCTCCAATGAACACTACTCTAACTCAAAATTTTGAAATTTTCGTTTTTCACGCAAATCGCTTCACTATGTTCAAAGTATTACAATTAATCATTATTGATGGGGTTCGAAGCAAGAATAAATCAGCTAGTTACACAAAAAAACCCATAAATATATCTGCAATACTAAAGATTTTTAGTTTTTAGTTTACCAACTTTTTTCGTTTAAACGCTCCTCCTGTAAATCTACGAATTTGGAGTTAGCGTTAGTGTTCATTGGAGGCATCGACATATTTTAGAAATGTCAGAGAAACGCTTCTGGAAAATAGTAGGTTACGAAGTCGTGGTAAATTATTCATTTATGTTATGGAAATATAAATGAAGTGGTGTTATATTGTAAATAAGTTTATTTGTATTGTATTAAGAAATAAAGATCTTTAGTGAAACCATAGAATTGTTTTAATTGTTTATCAAAAAAGCTATGAAATGAGGGAACATTATTGTTGCTAACAATATCGACAACCTATTTTATATCCTCATTAGCTTCAAGTGTGTGTATTTTTATATTTAATTATTAATTACACTTCATATAATATTTACGTTTGCGGACTTAATGCCTAAGGCATTCTCTACCAGTCAACCAAAGCTATTGCAGAGTAAATAATGGTAGGTGCATGAAAATTTAGATTAAATTATAAATATATACACAAAAATACATACTTTTTTTATTGCTAAATGGTTGGACGAGCTTACAGTCAACCTGGTGTTCGTGCCTACTAGAGCCCATAGACATATACAACGGAAATGCGCCACCCACATTGAGATATAAGTACTAAGATCTCAGTCTAGTTACAACGGCTGCCCCACTCTTCAAACCGAAACGCATTACTGCTTCACGGCAGAAATAGGAAGGGTGGTGGTACCTACCCGCGCGGACTCACAAGAGGTCCTACCACCAGTAATTACGCAAATAATTATTTTGCGGGTTTAATTTTTATTACACGATGTTATTCCTTCGCCGTGGAAGTCAATCGTGAACATTTGTTGAGTACGTATTTCATTAGAAAAATTGCTACCCACCTGGGATTCGAACACCGGTGCATCGCTCGATACGAATGCACCGGACGTCTTATTCTTTAGGCCACGACGACAACAAAATATACCATACATAAATGTAAATATACATACACACTATATTCACAAATACAAATACATAAATATATAATATAAGGTTACTTGGATATTTTAGAATATTTCAACTTCAATTTTGACCTAGTTATCTTTTTAGATAGTTACATCCATTCCGGAAATGCTGTTTAATAATCTTGCTTTCCTGTGTGAAGGACATGACAGTTGCCATTTAATAAATGTACAATTCAGGTATTCGTAAAACCAGGTAGGCGTGAGATCGTCTAACAGACTTGCACAAAATATAAACATAATACAAAATAAAATTTCAAACTTTGCCATCGCTTTTCGACTGTAACTATTGTAACAAAGCAAATTAAAATAGTCCATATTATCTTAATTTCTTTGAAATAGCATTTTGCATTCGTTTGTGAGTGTTAATACAACGTAGTCTAACAATATAACTATATAGAAGCATTATAAATGATCTATGTTTTACGTAATAACATTTTCTATTTGTGAATTGACATTCTGTTAAATAACTTTCTCATTGGAACGGAAGTATGACGTAACGTTTTTAATTTTATTAGCAGCGTTTATCTCGACTTCATTCCAGTCTAATTAATAATAAGTTTTATAGTTTCAAAGACAATAAGATGACAGCTAAATGAGTACGGATATGATAACGAATTCCGTGTTAATTAATCCTCTTAATTTTTTTTAATGTTAAACTATTTCAACACAATTCCAATAAAAAATTTTATTTACTTCCACATTTCCTCCCAATGTCGATGTCAACGTCAAATTGAAACGGACGTGTTCCTAAATTTTAAGACTAATCATAAAATAGGCGGTCAAAGAAGGTTTTACATTGTTACAAACAAAAAACTGGAATCTGCTTTAACTAAAAACTGATTCATTGAAAACCTCACAATGGTGAAACTAACTGAACAGAAATTGTTCCCGTTCTGAACGTAAATCGAAGCATTGTGACTGAATTTAGGAACAATGGTGCCCTGTAATTATATTGTAAAGCAATTTTGTAGCGACCACGCCGCGATGCGAAAATGAAAATCGGAATGGTAATAATAAAATAAGTAATGGCCGACTACAAAGCGGGCGTAATAAAGCAAAAGTTATGAATGTATAAAAATCTGAATACATCAGATACAGTGTTTTTAGATAGACAATTCCGCTGAGAGCTTATAAGGAAATTACTGTTTTATGTTTAAAAAAATATAAATTATATGTTTTTAGTTTTTTACTTTATAGAATAAAATTAGAATTAATATTAGTATAGCTATTCTTTCAATATATTTTTTTCCTACCTAAGCTGAGAGCCTTGAGAGGCTATTCCAGCGTAACCTTAACTAGTAGCTCACGGGGCTCAGACCTGACGACGTTGCTAACACGAACCCTAGCAAGAGCCGTGCTTCGCAGAGTCTACCACCGAATCGGAAACGCGACCCACTGAGAAGATCTGGCGAGAAACTCAGTGGGCTGTGTCTGAGGGTTAATTTACCCGTCGAGCCCTTCGTCGCAAGCGACGGGTTCGACGAGAACGATGACCGGGGCTTGAGGTACCTAAAAGTACAGTTATTAGATCGGGAGGATTCAAAATGACGTGTTTGGGGCGACGTCGACTGCTTTCCATTCTGTCCGCAGGATCAGGAATGTAGTTACCGGCGGCCACGATGAGAGGGTTCTCGTGTCGTGCCGCTTTATCGAAGTGGATTCTTTCAAAGTAAGTGTCGAGTCGTCGCAAATTTTCGGTGTATATGAAAGACATTCCAAATTACCATTGTATTAAATTTCATCATAGTCGGTTACTTTTGGGAGAGCAGTCGTGGTCATGTGGAATCCTTGTTTATAATAGCCTTGTTAGTTGTTCTCTATAATTTGCCAACTAAGGCTTGGTGCACGCCCTCGACAAGTGGGGTTTTGGTAAGGTTTATTACTTGATCAGTCCAGCGCATGGGGCTTCACGGGATCTTTTACTGTTGACCCTACCTTGAACAACCTCAATAGATCCTACTGGCCGACGCGATACGTGTCGAAAATATTGGAAAATCCTAGACTGCACTGACGACAGCCTTTGAAACATGTTAAGTTCCTTTAGGATCGAGGCGTTGGTGCGATGCTCAGTAAAAGATATACGGAGCATCCTTCTCCAGCACAACATTTCTAGTGCATCGATCCTTTCTTTGACAGTCCAGGTCTCAACTCCACACAATAAGATGGGGAGTACAATTGGTAATATTGCGGTCTTTCTATATTTTTGAGTCTGTCCACGGGCGATCGCGTTATGATTGATTATACGGCGTTTATTTCGTCTTCCGAACCAGCAGTGAACCTAGTGAACCTAGTGAACCTAGTGAGGTTTATGATGAAACAAGTTTGCAATTATCTATGCTTCTATACTAATATTATAAAGAGGAAAAAATTGTTTGTTTGTTTGTATTGAATAGGCTCCGAAACTACTGAACCGATTTTAAAAATTCTTTCACTGCTGGAAAGCTACGCTATCCCCGGGTGACATAGGCTATATTTATTAAATTTTCAAAAAAAATTAGGGATCCTTAATGAAACTCCAAGAATGTAACCTAATGTGCAAAAAAAATTGCCTAAAATTCTTTACATCGCGTGCGCTACTACCCAAGCGAAGCCGGGGCGGGCCGCTAATTATTATTAAAAATGTAACACTTAACCTTACCAATTTGTATTATACTTAGACAAGCAAATTATAAATTTATAGGTCCTTACCGAATATTTTAACGCAGCACGCGTAAATTCGGCTGATTTCAAACAAAAAATAACTCACGTCACACTATTATCAATACGTATCTTCTTTCATAGTTTAAGTAGAAAGTTGACATTGATAGGGCGGACTTCGTAGTAGATAAGTCCCGGAAAAGTTTTCCGCAGCGTCTGAATATCAATGGAAAGTATTAGAAAGGGAATTCTTACGTCAAATGTTTCGGGATGTATCGGGACTGCGCGTAGATCCGATTAGGGGATACCAGTGATAGAGGTGCGTCCTTTACTAAAACTTACTGCAGTCATTTTATCGTTTTTTTGTTTTGTGTATTCCAGTACTGAAGTTATACGTACTTGCTAGATAATGTTAGGTTAGTTTTTTTTTAAATAAAAAAATACATGAAATTTATTTTGCACAGAAAGATCTTGTGTATTATACTTAAAACAGCGATACTGCGTTGCATCAGCCTTTCTTTCTTTGGCTACACATTGACGATTGGCGACAGAGGGTAGGAATCAGTGGAGGGCCTAGGTTATTAATTAAGATGAGGAAATTACTACAGAGTACGTAGGGGTTGACGACGCCACATACTAATCCCGCATCGACGAATTGGATCACATATTCTATGATTGTAACCGTCTGTTAGTTACAAGAACGAACATCTTGGACAACATATACT